AAAGATAAACACCTCACTCTTAAATTAATAAATACAAGTGCCATTAAAGAACCTTGGGAAAAGGTTTTTATTTTTAAGAGATGTTAAAATGCAATGTCATATTACCCAGTTACTCTAGAAATGCATTAGAAAAAGTTTAGCCTTAGCATGCTATTAGTCCCAGATGGTGATGTAATTTACCAAGTTATAGTTTTACCAACATAAAAGATTTAAGCCTGTATACAATTTATGGGCCAATAATTCATTAAACTTATTAAAATTAATTTGAAGTCAATTTTCATTTTTACACAGGTCATCTCACTGTAAGCACTTAACAAAGTACAGTGAAATAAATGGATTGCTTCCCTTTTACTTTTAACCGAGGACAGAGGACAGATTTTTGTTTTCTGTTGGTTTGGCTTTTGTGGTACTGGAGTCTGACTCCAGCATATATTTGTAATAATCTGCACAATTATCATGCTTTTGCTGGCTACAGACCAAAAATTAGTGAGGCCTACAGAGCTAATCCAGTGGTACCAACTCTTTTCACCAATTCACCCTAAAGAAGTGTAATATAGAACCAAGGACAGCTCTGGCAATACCATGTTTCAAGCAATTACCCAAATTTGGCTAGCTAAGCAACAGGATATTAAATAAATCAAGGGGATGTGTGCGATAAGATATACCTCTTTGTCTTGTCTCTCAGTAAGATAAGGTGCCCACAAATAAAACATTTACAGAACTAGACAAGTCAGTGTCAATCTTCGTCCTGAAGAAAAAGTCTATCAGAACTCAGAGAAGACAGAATAGAATGGAAAGGGATTAAGAGCTAGGAATCACACAATTATGATTCATACTAGGACTTCTTGAACCCACCTCCATTTGGGGAGAGGACTGGGGATCAAATCCAGAACCCTTTGCTCACCGGGCAGGTGTGACGAACCCACCTCCATTTAAAAGAATTTTAATCTTAGGTCTGTTATTAATCACAAACATAACCTAACAAGTCACTTCACTTAGTTCTTAGGTCTATAAATCAAGAATGTTAGATTCAAATGCAGCTTTAGTTGGGTACAGTAATACATGCTTATAGTCCCAACTACTCAGAAAGCTGAAGCAGGAGAATCACAACCCATCTCAAAGTAAAAAAGGCTATCAATGCAGCTCAGTGATAGAATGCCCCTGGGTTCAATTCCTAGTACTGCAAAACAACACAACAGAACAAAAACAACAACAAAAAAGAAATGTAGGTCACAATCTTTACCCTGGACCTTAGAGATTAGAGTGTCTAGGGTGATCAAGGCTGAATTTTACCTACAGAAAAATTGCGTAAGCATTTACCATGGATATATCTGACATCTGAGGATGGAGCAGACTGGCTTGAGTACAGGGAGTATTTGAGGAAGATGGGGCCAGACCATGATAGACTCAATTAAAAAACAATTTGCCTCTGCCAGGCACATAACCTCATTAAAACCCTGAGGTTAAGCTGAAACAGTATTGTTGCCAAAGACTGCAATGTGTAAAGGACAGCCACAAACCATAACAATATGACAGACCTGAGTAAGATATTAAGTAATTCAGCAGGCAGTTGACCATTAGGAAATGGCCATACTTCAAGCCTGTCATAATCAGAGACAGTTTGATTTAGCAAAGGAACTACACAGCCCACAAAAGCAGCTCCCCTTCAAAGAATCACCCTAGAAAACAGCAGCCACCTTCACTAACCATACAGAAAGGCATAAAACAAACATTTTATATCACTCTAAGTTCTGGTCACTTGCTAAAGAGCAGTAACAAGCTCTTCACACAGTAAGGGATAAATGGCACTAATGGTGCTAAAATTTTGAAAATGCCCTGCACCTTTACTCCAATTTACTCAGTTGAAAGATGTTTTAAAGTAGGCCAAGGTGTTATGAGCCTGTAATTCAAGCTACTTGGGAGGCTGGGACAGGAGGATCACTTGAACTCAGGAGTTACAGGCCAGCCTGGGCATCAAAGACATTTTAATGGAAGGTAAAAGGGCCAGTTATCCTTACAACTTTGCAACTGCATTTGCCAATCAGCTGAATTACTGCACTGCTTTAGACTCATTCCCCAAACTCAGAAAAGATGTATTTCAAAAAAGAGAACCATTGAGGAAAACATTAAGCAGTACTATAACTGGCTAACCACCCTCCTCCCAGCTCTAATTTACCACAGCTACTACAGCAGAATAAAAGTGGCTCAAGTTCGACTTGTGATCCAGTCCAGTGCAGACTGCCATCTGCTGCACGTACACAGGATGTCTCCCGAGCAAGCTTCACTCTTAGTGTCGTTTCCCAGGAACCTTCTAAGGGAGACCTTTATAAGGCCTTTCTGGCAAATTGTTTATTTACACATTCACTTTATATATGTGCTTCAAATCACATCTACTTAGATTCCAATTCATGGGGTTTTGGAATACAATAACTTACTGACAGTTAATTTTATAATAGAGTCGTGAGATGTAAAGGAGCAACAGCAATTTACAAGAAAAAGAACACAACTAAGGAGTCATAATCTGTGGGGCACACAGGGGTCCAAAACCTTATGCACCAGCTCTGCGATCTGCGCCTCAATTTGAGACATGATTTCAAGATACTAATCTCCAAGAGATACCTTTCAAATTGAATGTGTTGAGGGGACTCATAGAAATACCAAACGGAGGGCCAGGGATTTAGCTCAGTGGCGTCACACCTACCTTGCAAGTGCAAGGTCCTGAGTTTGACCACCGATACCGAGAGGGAAAAAAAAAAAGAAATACCAGATGGAGACAGTTATGCATGAAGATATTGTAGCAACTGTAGACAAAACTTCTGTAAATAAGGGGGGGTTGAAGGGAAGGGAGGGGATTGGGAGAAAAAGAAGAATCAAGATATATCATGCACAGGTACAAATTCCCTTTGATGGGGCTGGGGATTTAGCTCAGTGGTTTTGTCACCTGCTTCGCAAGCGCAAGGACCCGAGTTTGATCCCCGGTGCCAAAAAAACAAAACAAAACAAAACAAATTCCCTTTGATGAATGTGATCGTTATGTATATTTAAACTGTACCAATAAAATTAAAATTAAAAAAAAGAAAGTGACAAGAATGATGAGATGAGTATGTTTGAAGTGAGAGGGTGGATGTTGAAGGGGATTCATGGCAATATGTCTTTTACTGAAATAAATATTTTCTGATTAAAAAATGTGTTTACATACTTTAAATCATCAAGTTCAACTCTGCAAAATCTCACAATTCTAAGTTCACTTACAAGTCACCATTTCCAGGACAACACTCTGCCCTTCAGAAAACACTCCACTGTAATCCCCAGAACAGAGCAGAACACTTTCATGAAGTATCCCCATAAGGAAGACGCTCACAGCCTGATGGATTCGCATAGTGGAAAATATGAGGCACAAAATTTTAAATGCTACATGAATAACACACCCAGACAGTATTAAAAACAAACCGTGCAAAGTCAGATCTCTTACTAAAAGACAGAAACAAAGACAACTTGGGGACTCTTTAAATAGTTTGGGGGAGAGAGGAATGCAATCAGATTTTTGGGTGACCTTAGATTTTTTTAAGAGAAAAAAACGACTTAACTGGAGGCTATGAAACACATAAATCTGAACTGAACTGTGGAAAAGCTCAGCTGTCACCCAAAAGCTTCAGCAAAACAAAAGCAATATGCCAGTATGCCAAATATGAAAAAGTACAATTTACTCATAAGAATGAGAATGGGGGGGGGGGAGAATGAAAATAGGATCCATAACTATGACTAATAGTAGCAATACTATCTTGGATTTCCAGAGTATCAGTTCTTTTCATAGCTCTTAGACAATTTTATGCTATCAGGGGTCTCAGGGCATTCTCTCCGAAAACCTCCAATTGTTTCTTTAAGAGCTCTGTAATCAGAACAAGGCAGGTGTTGAGACTGTGGAGAGCTGAAGGCACTGGTTTCTTCTCTCAGGCTGTATGCAGTGATCCTCTTATTACCACACTATACAATTTAGCCCTAGGAAATAAAATCTACACTCATTCTCTCAGACTTGGCCAGAAACCAAAGCCTTTGGGTATAGAAAGTCCAAAGGAAGGGAACCTACTGCCTTGTTAGCTCAAGAACTCCAAGCCAAGTTGATCGCTTGCAAATGAAAAAAAGCCCTCTCTCCCTCCTCCCCCCCCCTCCCGCACACACCCCAAGTCTATTCGAACAGAAACTCCCTTTCATTGCCAGCCAGTGAAACCCAGCAATAGGTGGTTAAAACAACCACCAAATCTCTGTCTCTGTGAACTTGTCATATCCGCTCCTCTGCTGCCTGCTGCCCACCCGTCTTTCTTCAGGCACGCGTGAAGCTCCTAAGCCAGCCTCGGAAAGGACCACCGAGGACCTTAAGGACCCAACGGGACGGAGCTGGTCTCTGAAGCAATGCAGCATGCATCTCCAGGAAGCCGGTTCCCCGAGCACACACATGCAGGAAGTCAGAAGAGGGATAAAGTTTGATTTTCCTTCTTAGCCATTCCCGCAGGGCCGAGAGAGGTTGAGGGAGCGGCCTGCCAGGGTCCTGGGCCGCTCTCTAGGGACAACGTGGCACTGCCACTCTCCTAACAGACACAGACAGCCACGGCACTCGGGACACCCAACGCGCCCAGCCAGAGCAGGAGGGAAGGGGACACGCGCGGGGCTCGGCTTGGGAGCCGGGGCAGAGCTGCTAAGGGAGGAGGGAGGGACCGCGACGGGAGGCGGGTCAGGAGAGATTCCAGTCCAGTCCCCTCCCCGCCCTGGTGTCCCCGGTCCTGCGGGAACATCCCCGCCGTCGCCCCTCCTCCTCCTTCTCCTCCTCTCGGCTTCCTCCGCCCGCCGTCCCTCCCTGGTCGCCGCCGCAGGCGCTTGAAGGGCACGGCGGCTCCTCGGTGCCCGGCAACACCGGGAGCGGCCGCGAGTTGAGATGAACTCGCCCGCTGCCCGGCGGCCTGGCAGCCCCGCCCTCCCCGCAGCCGCCGGGCGCACTCGCTCACCGTCCGGTGGTGTGGCTGCTGCCGCTGGCGGCTGACTCCCAGCCCCGAAAAGCAGCCAGCAGTCAGCACGCCGCAGCCGCTGGCGCCCCCGCCGCCGCTCCGGGAGGAGAGGAGCAGCAGGAGCGATCTACCTGCGGCGGCCGCCATCTCTCAACTGGAAACGGCGCCGGCCCAGGCAGCGCAGCGGACGGCTGGGGCGGAGTTAAGAGCTGTCACTCACCGACGCCGGACCAACTGTCGCCCTTGACTGACTCGGCGAGGCGGAGCTTCCTGCAAAGCCCAATCGACGGGCGGGAGAACCACATTGCAGGCTGCCTGTCACTTCCAGAGTTACCTATTGTGGGACACAGTCAATTACGGGCAAATTCTAGGAAATCTGTAATAGGCACCTGAGCCCCTTAGAATAGAGCGATAAGAGGTGACATGTTCGGCTTGGCTAATCGTCACCAACTAACGGCAGAGCTATAAGGGTAACTAGGGAAATAGATACGTGGCGCAAAGCTTTGTTCTAAAATGAGTTCCAAGTGAGTGTTCTAAGTTGGTAAAACAGGCACCAAATGGATAACCATTAACTAGGAATGCCGTAACTCCCAATGACATGCCAAGTTAGCATTCGCAACTGATAGTATTTGGGTATGCTGAAATTAACCCTACATCATAAAGTGACCTAATTAATGACTGTGATGTGTAGCACACTGTAGGAGGACTAGAAGGATTGCAGTATCCAAGTCTCCGCCAGAATGAGTAGTGTACATGCCATCACTGTGAATCAACAGATCTGTATTTACTCATGTCAAATACCCAGTTAATTTTCACATCAACTTTATACTGATTCTCACATCCTCCAGAAACGGCCCGCTATTTCTTACCACTCTTGACCTTGCACGCCTTTATTAAACTATAGAAACAGAACAAGTTGATGATGTAATACAAATCATGTAAAGATTCTTTTAATGAAGTTTCAAATTGCTAAAATAGCCATTAGAATGTACTTTGGAATAATTCTTAATTATTCTTGAAAGCACTTGATGTTCTTGAAAATACTTCTTTCCATCAGAAAAAGTTCACAATGAGGTCTCACTGAAAACTGTAAGAAAGGAGATTTGAAGTTTCCAAATTTCTTTAGAAAAGGAAGTCCTTGCTATCTGTTTATTATGATGCGCTGGATACTTTTCATTCCTCCCTTTAAAACCTGGAGCAGGAAAACATTTTGAAAGCAAATATAAGTATTCTAAATTTTGGAAAACTGTTTTAGTGTAGCCTTAGGTGAAGTTAAAACAAACAAAAACACAACACACACGAATAAAATTGTATCACTTGTTCTAATAATATTCTTTAAGGTTTGACTGAAATAACGCTTTCTTGGCCAAGAATAGCTAAATTATAATGTGGAACTTTGGGTGTAATTCTGACACCCCCGCCCAGAACAGTAAGATGATTGGCTTCTCCAGGTGAGACTGTCATTTCACTCATCCAGAAAGCTTTATTGCCCAACAAGTGAAACCGGAGAGCTCAGGAATGACCTTCCCATTCAACAGCTGCACAGAGCAGTCCCCCACCCCATCCCACGCCTCCTTGGAACTCCATAACATTCCTGGAACAATTTCACTTACAATCATTTTCCACCCATCTATATTTATCCCAAATGCATTTTATGTGTTTATCCACGCTGTGCCATTTTCCCCTTCTCTGTCACCCCTTCATGCCTTCTTACTAAGATTACCATGGATTTTAGTTTTGTTTTTGTTTTTTGAACCTTTGTTAATGTAGTTATGAACCAAAAATTTTCCATCCATCCTTCCCTCCCTGCTATGAGAAATTTTACTAGAATTGCATTTCCTCTATTTTTTCCAAGTATGAAAATTAGATGTACATCCTGCAGTATTAAGATTTAGTCCTGTGCATTTGCTATTCACTAAATAGCTTTTTTAATGCATATACAGAGGTCAGTGGTTCCGCCACCTGACCCACAAGCGCAAGGACCCGAGTTCGATCACCGGCACCAAAAAAGAAAAAAAAAGAAAAAGAAATGCATAATACGGGCCGGGGATTTAGCTCAGTGGTTGCGCCACCTGCCTCGCAAGTGCAAGGACCCGAGTTCGGTCCCCGGTACCAAAAAAAATGCATATACATGACCTGGAGGGATTAACAAAAGCTGTCTTCCTATCTATTTACCGAAACGGAAATGTGTCATCTTTTATCTATCAAGATGAAATCACTGATACACTTGAAGTAAGCTGTGTAATTGGAGGATCCACTGACTAAACTGAGTTTTTATGATCCAGGGTTAGCAATTACTCTAAACAAATGGGAGTTATCTCCTCACAGAGAAAAACCTTCTCCATAGATGCAAAGGACATATCTCATATGGGTTGGGTGGCCAAGTCTGATGAGAAAGTGTAGATTACAGCAAGTCAGCCTCATACCTAGAAAAAAGAATGAAAAATTAACATTCACTGCAAACCTATGTGCCAGAGCCCATGCTGATCACTCTACAGACAATGCCTTTATGAAAGAAGGTAAAGTAACTACAAATACTTTAAAAGATTGTTACTTTTATAAGAAGTCTGAGAAAACCTCAATATTGTCCAATAGGACCAGGAATTGTTTACATAAGTTACACAACTAATCTTAAAACAGAATATTATCCAACCACTTAGAAATTAATTATCTTACCTAAAAATGCAAGAAAATGTATAATATAGATGATGTTATATATGTATAATGCAGACAGTGATTTCTAGAAGAATAAATAAGAAAACATGCTACATTTGGGAAGTTTTAAGGGACAGCTACCCTTTTTTTTTGGTACCGGGGATTGAACTCAGGTCCTTGGGCTTGTGCAGCAGTGAAACCACTGAGCTAAATCCCTGGCCCAGCTATCTGTTTGAGTGGATTAAATATTCCTACCTGCATGTTATTTTTATAATTATAAAAATATGGTCACTAAAACCTACAAAGTTGCTGAATTGTTTCTGTGCCAATCCTTAGAAACAAGTTGATCTTTTTTAAGCTAAGCTAATCAGAACAGATTTCTTGGAGCATGAAATCTTAACTAGGTTCCCTATTAAAATGTAATCGAAACTCAGCTCCCAAGAATGACTCAACCCAATGGAGTATTTGCCTAAGCATTCCAGAAGATCCAGGGTGGGTAGGTGATACACAGGGTTTCACTGACATGAGCAGACAGCATGAAAAGAATCTGCTCAGAGGTCTGGGGAATGTGTTTCGAGGTTCACCAATAATTAGAATTATTATTTGAGATCAGCAGTTCTTAAAAAAACAGGAAAAAGTATATGAAGAAGGAGGAAGGGCAGAGGGGACGGGTGTAGCCTTTAAATATTTATCATGAAACACAGCCTAGATCTGTTTGCTGGCTATTTTTGCTTCATTCTTTTTCCAGATGTCATTATTTCCATTTTTCTACACTTACCCATCTGCAATCATCTCTCCATCATTAATACACATTCCCATTACTTCCTAGTTTCTGTGATTTTTTTTTTCTGTCCTTTTTCTGTTGGTTTCTCTGGATCATAAATATTTCTCATCAAGGTAACTGAGAAGGATTCAACTGCTCTTAAACCCCACTATATATCTCTTCCTGGAGATATCTCCTCACACCATTAAACACAAAAACACACACTCATTTTTATTTCTCTCCTTTCTCTTCCTCCAACATTCCCAGTTTTCCTACTCTAACACAGACCCACTTGAGATCAGATAGATTTACATACTCCCTCTAAGAATGTTTGTGTGGCAGGAGACTCATGTCCTGGCCTCCAAAGGATGACTAACTCCCATATTCGTTTTATAACTCAATGACTCTATGATCTAACATCCATTCTGCCATTTCTGTTAAGAGTAGAACCCCAGAAAAATATTGAGTTGAGAATGGCAGGGCTTGTTCAAATAGACTTGTCTTTGCTGTGTTTCTCAGGATCTGAGAAGTTGACAACAAACTTTAAAGCTGTCCTTCTGGTATTAGATTGGCTCATGGCCACCTATATCCTTTGCTATTTACTAGACTTTTGGATCTAAGAGGAAAAGAATTTTTTTGTCTCCATCTAAAGTGGTTCAAAGGGGCAAGACACTAAGTTTGCACTCAAGTAAACCACACTTCCTAAGTGTCCATAAGAATTCAGCTCTTATGGAATCCAACATATTCATTCCAGAGTATTCAAAAATGCCAAAAGATCATAAGAACTTGCCCTGACAGAACTGAATTATTCCATATCAGTAAAGTAGCTCACTTCTCAGCAATCTGCTTCCTATATATCTACCCACTGTATCTTGAACATTCCCCAAAACTGCCAATGTCCAAAGTTTTGCTCCAAACAATCATCTGTTCTTCTCTTCTTTTGGATACCAGATCCTCTGAGAGTAAATGTCCATGTAAAATGCAACTCCATCTTGCATATTCTCATAATTTGCTGCTTGACTTCCCATCAGAGCTGCTTGGTAGTAGGTCTGAGCTGGTCTGGCAGTAAGATCTATCATTTCCATGACTAGTAGAACTATTTGGTCAGGCTAATTTGGCTAGTTGGGCCACAGTCTCCTATTGCCATTAGAGGTATATTTTGTATCACAATTATTTACATTACTATCTTTCTCCTTCAGAGACCTTCCAGGTTAGAGTTGCCAATCTGGCAAATTAATTGAAGCTAACTCTCAATTTTTTTTTTTTTTTTTGGTACCAGGGGTCGAACTCAGGACCTTGCACTTGTGAGGAGGCAGGTGGCAGAACCACTGAGCTAAATCCCCAGCCCTTGAATTGAAGCTAACTCTAGATGAAGCTAACTTTAGATGATGTGGCGAAGCCCAACAGACCTCCCTTGCTGCTTGACAAAGTTCCAGCTGGAGGGAAAAAAGGGTGGAACACATCGTACCCTCATGTTTTATTTTTTCTTGCCATAATGTTTATAATCGTTACTCTGATCACCGGAGTCATTGTGTTTGTGACTAACAACAAACTCTCCATGAGGCAAATTGGAAATGATATATTGAAATCTGATCTGGCTCACAAGCCCCAAATTCCAGTTACTCTTAGTTCTATTGCCACATCCACTTCTAAAGAAACCTCTCCTAAAACCCCCTCTGTTTCCCCACTACTATAACTCCCCCTCTTATTGCTGACATTCTTTTTACTAAAGGGGTCTTATGAAGAGACT